TCTTAAAACATAATTATAAGTTCATGTGGGGATATGGCTGAAGGATTGACATGACATGACCAGTTTTTGACATCATGACCAAGTTTGGCTTTCACACTGTCTGCTTTCACATTGATAGCTACTGGCCTGTCCCAAACATAGTCAACTTTGATACAGGTCTTTGAGGGCTGTATCATGATGGGCTGATTCATCCTTTGAGGTGTCTTTAAGACAGGTCATGTTGTAAGTTGACCATGTATTGAGTAAATATCAACATGAATAGCCTTGAAAGCCAACTTGGGCATGATGTGAGGAACTGATGATGTGGCAATAGCAATATGTAATGTCATGTCAATCCTTCAGCCATATCCCCATATGAGCTTACAATTATGTCTTGAGATAGGACAGGAGGTATCAATATGAAAGACATAGAATGGCCTTTCCTAATGTGAAAGACAATTTGTGCATGATGTCAAATACTAATGCTGCAGCACTGGCAATATGATGGTAATCCTTCATCCTCATCCCCATAACATAGATAGGGCCAAGGACACCATAAACTACATGTCAACTACAAACTTTTCCAAATGAAAAAGCAGACACTACAAACTCTTCTAATAAAAAAGCACACACTACAAAACTTTGTGGTCTAAAAAAGCACACACTACAAACTTTTGTAGTCTCAAAAAGCGGACACTACAAACTTTTCTAATAAAAAAGCGCAACACTACAAACTTTTGTACTGTACTAATACGACCATGACTTCGCATCACGCATCACAGAGGTCATCGAAGGAAGTGAAGTGAGGGTGATGTCACGCATCACCCCGGTTTTCGAAGTCATTTTTTCCTATTCTAAAATGGCTGATTTTTCTGGCGCCTGCGGCGCTCATAGGCATGTAAACGACACGGTGTATATGTTATCTACTTTCTATGGCAACCAAACAAGAGCTGTGGTTCCAGGGCGTTGATGCCAGAATGGGTGTTATGGGTCTCAGGAAGCTGTCTCGGTAGGGGAAATTTCAAGAATTGTGTCACGGAGAGCATTGGAGATGGGAGGAACTCGGCGCGCATATGTGGTGGGATTTTTTCCGGGAACATGATGAACAAGAGAGAGAATAAACTTTTTTTCATTCAACATCGGTTTACACAGTGGGCAACGCATCAGTAATTAGAGTTGCTTTTAGAGTTGATTTTAAGACGATGGGTCCCTGTTCGGGTCAACTGCAGAAGCGCCGAAGCCATCACACTCTTCGTCACGCATCACATCGGCTGTTGAAGCGGCGAAGAGATGGTGAAAATGTGTCATGCCCCATAGGGCCCGAGGACTTGGTCGTATTAGTACAGTATTTTTGTATTTTGCATACCATTCCATGAGATCAAAATCCTAGCTTCTATAACTTTGTATATAGCTTTCTAACAACAATTATAACAATCTCCTGGGAGCCAATTTTGAATTTCTACTCTGGAGTTGCATATCTTCCATCTTCCAGTCCCCGT